AGGGAGGGAGGGAGGAAAGGAAGGCAGCCAGCAAGAAGAAGCGTTGGGACAAAGATGACAATTGTGTCAACCCTGTCAGCATTCCATGAAGGCAAGCGATCGCTGGCTTCAGAAGATGCCAATAACTTTCCTTCTCTCCTTGGTCCTTGGGTTAAACACAGTAACTCAAGAGACTTGGATCACTCACCCTCCCTTGAAAGCTCAACTCTGCAACGGAGGAGACAATTGGGAAGAAACGATGCGCTCATCCCACCCACCTGTGATAAGCTGAACGGAGAACACGGTTCATTCAGGCACCAAAGGAGTCATTGAACAATTGAATAAAAGGAGAACATCGACTTGAGTCTCGGGGTATTTCTGAGAAGTACTGATAGTTGAATGTCTGACATCTCTTGGGCTTTTCTTTCGTTGCGTCAGGACAAATAAGTGATAACAACATTCCGCTGTATGTATTTTTTTTTTTAACGTTTCCTTGTAAATGTGGAAAATATACCGCAAGTAATATATGCTTTAAGAGCCAAAGGGATAGTGCATTATCCATGATGCGAATCCATTCGTTTTCATTTTCCTCCTGAGGATTTTTTTTAAAAAAAACAACAGCAACGAAGGAATCGCATACAAATAGGAGGAATTGTTGCAATCGGTTTAACTGTAAGCACAGTTCCAAAAGTGATATCAAAGTCCCTTGACTTACAATCGTTGGCACAGATCATTATCTAATAGAGGGGGGCACACAAATTGTTGGCTGGAAACTACATCAGAAGGACAAAAAAAGCCACCGTATTTATTTTTAATAGAGCAATAAAACTGGCAACTGTAAAGGGAAACAACTAGTTAGGCAAGGGGAAAGCAGGGGTGAAATGCTACCGGTTCACACCGGTTCGGGAAAACCGGTAGAGGCAACAGTTGGTGGTTTGGCGAACCGATAGCGGCAGCAGCACGAGTCTCTGCTCACCTGCCTGGATGTCATTACTTCCTGGTTTTAAGCAGGAAGTAACCTGTTTTTGACCCTCTGCGCATTCGCAGAAGGATTTGTGCATGCGCAGAGGATCTAAAATCTCACATGATGCATACGGACGAGTGGAGTGAGCACATGACGTGTGCATACTTCTGAACCGGTACGGAAGGTAAGTAGATTTTACCCCTGGGGAAAAGTCTTTGATTTTTGTGCCAAACTAGTAAGGAATGTGTAAATGCTGATAGTCCTTGACTTATGACCACAAATGAGCCCAAAATTTCATGGGTTTTCTCCTATTCTGCAACCTTATCTTGCCATAGCTGTTAAGTGCATCGCTTCCGTTCTGAAGTTAGCAACGGGGTTGTTAAGTAAATCTGGCTTTCCCCTTTGCTTGTCAGAAGGTCGCAAAATGGATCATGTGAGTTCGGGACAGTGTGCCCGTCATAAATATGAGTCATTGACCTATCCCCATTGACTTTACTTGTCAGAAGGTCGCAAAATTGGATCACGTGACCCCGGGACTCTGCAACCGTCATAATTACCGTCAGTTGCCAAGCATCTGAATTTGGTCATGTGACCATGGGGATGCTGCCACGGTCGTAAGTGTGAAAAATGGTCATAAGTCTCTTTTTTCAGCACCGAGGTAACTTTGAATGGCTGTTAAATGAACTGTTCTCTGTCGAGGACTTACCTGAAGTGAACTCAAGAGCTTTTCCTTGCTACCCACCCAACTTCCATTTTCTTTTTTTTTTTTATTGCAAAAGTTTTACAATTACATTTTCACCCCTTTCCCCCCCCACCACCCGCCCCAAACTTCCCAACCTCCCTAACCCTCCCTAACCCTCCCCTCCCCCCAGACTTCCCTATATTATACTCATATCTGGTAAGAAAAATAAAAAAAAAAACCTTAATATAAAACTTATGTAAAAAACTTGAACCCCTCCCTCCCCTTTATAATTTTTCTTTTTACCCTCATTACATTAAAATATTTCTAATACATTATTTTCAAATAAAAGCTATTTGATACTTTCTAGTTTGATATTTGTTCTGAACATATTCTATCCACCTTTTCCATTCCCATTCATAAGTCTCTTGTGAACAATCTTTTAAGTATGCTGAAATCTTCGCCATCTCTGCAAAACTGGCCATCTTCAAAGTCCATTCCTCAATAGTGGGCAAAGCTTCATTTTTCCAATATTTACCTATCAACAATCTTGCTGCTGTTATCATATACAATATCAGTTTTGTTTCACCCAATGTAAAACCCTTAACTATACCCAATAAGAACAATTGTGGAGAAAATTGAATTTTTTTCTTCAAAACATTCTGCATGACCCACCAAAGTTTTATCCAAAAAGCCTTAACTTTCCTACAGGTCCACCAAACATGATAATACGTAGCATCCAAACATTCACATCTCCAACATTTTGGCTGAACACTAGGGTACATACATGACAACTTTTTGGGATCTAAATGCCATCTATAAAACATCTTATAAAAATTTTCCCTCAGGTTCTGCGACTGTGTAAATTTAACATTCTGGACCCAAATTTTTTCCCATGTTTCCAACATCACTGGTTCTTCAAAATTTTGTGCCCACTTAATCATACAATCTTTAACTAATTCAGTTTCTGAATCCCTTTCTAACAAAACATTATAAAGCCTTTTGATATGCATTGGACCTTTCTCTTTTATATGTCTAACCAATTCTTCCTCGTGCAACATAATACCAGTTTTTTGGTCCTCTTTCCATCTCGATTGTAATTGATTATATTGTAACCAAGTTAAATTAATCCCTTCGTCCAACAGTGTCTGCAATGTCTTCAGCTGCCATCTGCCCGCATCTGTAAAAAGAACCTCTTTGTATAAAAACCCCACGAGTGACATTATATTTGTATTCCACAAAATATGACCAAGATCCAGCCATAGCGGTATTTTATAATCCCATTTGAATCGGTGCTTCCAACTTCCATTTTCTTTCCTTTGTTATTCATTTAGAAGACAGGGGACTAGGATAGACGATTTCATAAAGAATAAATTAAAAGGTGTTTACCGAAAATGGCACCAGATTTTCCTTAGGCAGCAATTAATCAAGGTTTCCATAATTATGGCGGGATCCTTTAATCTTTGCTTAATCTTTTCAAAATGATGGCTGGGAAAGCCGCGTTCGAAGTTCAATTTCACTCCATTCTCATTTGCACTTCTTAAGAGATCTCTGGCTCGTAAGACGAACCCTCCCCATCTCCTTTTTCATAAATTAAAAGCTTCTCTTAAAAAAAAAAAATCATTCACATCTAAAGCACGCTGGGACAAAGCCAGCCATGGTCCTTCAGAATACAAAAGCAACCAGTTTACAATGAAACCTGAAACATCATGCAAAAGTGGTGTGGTTTCAAATCGGCTAATTCAACAAAAAGGCTTTTTTTTTTTAAAAAAAAAAGGAAGTGTTGTTCCTGGTAGACATGGTTGAATCTTATTTCTAGTGTTGAATTTTGAAGATGTTGGCTGGGTTCACCCACCTCTTCACAAAGCCATTACAATTCCAGAAAACAGGTTTGTAAGGATAAAAGTGAAGCTCAAGCATCGTGAGAGTCCTATTGATTTCGTTACTTTTTTTTTTTCCTTTTTATAGAAGAAAGCCGGTTTGATGGAATGGTTAAAGACCACTCCTAGGACAGAACGGAAGAGTCTCAAAGGTGCTTTTTATTTTTTCAAAAGGCAACTGGACTTTCTTGATTTGCTTGAAGGCGTTTTGCTTCTCATCCAAGAAGCTTCTTTGCTTCTGACTGAATGGTGGCGAATGGAAGGAGCTATATTCCTTTTGAAGTTTTTCACTCGGGGAAATGTGCGATTTGCTGTCTGCCCCGAGACACTGTCCCTGCCCGTCTGCGGCTGATGTGCAATGCAAACGCTCCAGCTAGGAAGCCAGTAGAGAGGAAGGGAGCGGGTAAGGGAAGTATAAACAGATGTTTAGATCAAGCATTTCCCCACAATTCACAAATCACACAGAGAGAAAGGGAACGAGAGGGAAAGAGGGGGACAGAGAAGAGGGGAAAGAAGAGAGGAAGAGAAGAGGGACACAGAGAGAAAGGGGAAAGAGAGAGGAAGAAGAAGAGAGAAAGGGGGAAGAGAGAAAGAGGGAGAGAGAAAGGGGAAGAGAGGAAGAGAAAGGGGGAGAGAGGTGAGCAGAAAGAGGGAGAAAGGGAAGAAGGGGAGAGGAAGAGAAAGGGGAAAGGGAGAGAAAGAGGAAGAGAGAAAGAAAGGGGGGAGAGAGAAAGAGGGAGAGAGGAAGGGGAAGAGAGGAAGAGAAAGGGGGAGAGAGGTGAGCAGAAAGAGGGAGAAAGGGAGAGAAGGGAGAGGAAGAGAAAGGGGAAAGGGAGAGAAAGAGGAAGAGAGAAAGAAAGGGGGAAGAGAGAAAGAGGGAGAGCGAGGAAGAGAGGAAGAGAAAGGGGAAGAGAGGAAGAGAAAGGGGGAGAGAGGTGAGCAGAAAGAGGGAGAAAGGGAGAGAAGGGGAAAGGGAGAGGAAGAGAAAGGAAGAGAGTGAAAAAGAGGGGAAAGAGAAGAGGAGAACGAGTAAGAGAAAGAGAGGCAGAAAGAGAGAAAGAGATAGAAATAAATAAATGTATATGTGCATGTTTCTATGCTTCAGTTTGAGAGACAACCTGACAAGGTGGCATCTAGAAGGATCTCCACTTTGCCAAAAGTGGCAGAGCGGCTGATTGAGCAGGGATCACGTGACTATGGGGGAGGCCACCATGGTCATAAGTGTGAAAAATGTCCCTAAGTCGTTGTGGCTTCCCACGATCACTAAATGAACTGCGGTAAGTGAAAGACAATCCGTAGTCCAGGAACTGTTAAGGAGGATCTGTCTTCAGCCTCTTTCTCACACACAAAGTATCTGAACTTTGTGTGAACTCTTTATTGCTCTTGTGGAATTCACAACTTCATGAAATAAGATTTCATCCCAACTCAACTTACTCTGGATCGCAATAGCCCATCTCAAGCACCAGCCGCGGCATCGAACCCATCAGCCACAGCTCTCTCACCTGTTTCCATTGAAGGAGGTCTTGTAGTCTCCCGGGGAGAGTATCGTCTCCTCAGCGTACATCGGGACGGGCGTCCTCACGCACTCGTGCGAACACTGCAGGGTTTCGTTGTAGGCCGTGAAGATGTCCAGGTTGCTGGGCACTCTGGCCGGAGTAAAGTCCGTCAGGTTTTGGCAACTCTCTTCCTGCTGCTTAATTTTCCGCTGGTGGCCATTCCGACGGGCGTTCCCCCTCTGCGCACAGCTGGAAGGAGAACAGGAGAGGCCGGTTGGAAAAACATCTGGGCTTTTAGGAGACCCTTTCTAACCGAATGGAGAATGAGAGAATAGCAGAATAACAAGAGAATAACAGAACGACAAAACCACAGAGGGAAGGGACCTCAGAGGCCTTCTAGTCCAACCCCCTGCTCACGCAGAGTTCTCCAACTCGTGCTGACAAACAGGTCAAGTGATGGCCGGTGAGAAACCAGGATCCTACAAATGCTGGCTAGATCTGAAGGAAGGAGGCCAATCGCTTTGTGACGGAGCGTCTGTGTGCGATGGGTTCGGCCTCGTTCAACACAAACGCCACAACCTCTGCGATTTTGTGCTCAGTAGAGTTGTGAGCACGTCTATTCTCCGGCGCTTTGCAGGGGAATTAAAAAAAAAAAGTGGGATAAAAAAACCACCCTGTAAATAATTCATAAGAAAAAGTAACACAAACGCCAACCGGTCCTAGCGTGCCTGAGAGACGGCAATTACCTGCAATTCCAAATTTAATTATCGCTTTTTAGTACCTGAGAAACACCCGTCGCCACGGAGCGAGATCCTCGGGTTCCAGGTACATTTTATGCGCGTATTTATTTATCTTCCATAATCCGATCTCGAGTTTCAAATGACGGCCGTTGTAATTAAGGGGAAATTACCGACGCTAAGTACCGTGTCCGTGTAAGCAACGGCACCCAGTTTAATGCCGTTGCTTGTTGAGATGATTTCGTAGGCGCGACACGTCGCCCCATTTGTCATCAGACACGTCTCTCCCCTTTGACGGGGGTGGGTGGGAGGAGAGGACTGTCTTCTCCTTTTCTTCTCCATGGTCGTGGTTTTCTTGGGGGTTCCTCCTCGACAGATGGAGCCCCCTCCCACACACACACACACACACACACACACACACACCTGGCATGCGGACCCCTTCCCGGATTGTGGACCAAGAAGATGGATTTTAGCGTCTGTGCAACTCTGGAGAAGTTCAAACTTTTTAAAGAGCTTGCTGGCTGTAGACAGGGGTGGGCTTCAAAAATTTTAGCAAGGAGTTCTCTGCCTGGTTGCTGTGTAGGCGTGGCCATGGTGGGCGTGGCCTAGTCGGCCTCCTGCACCACAGGGGAGGGGGCATTTTTGCCCTCCCCGGGCTCCGGAGGCTTTCCTTGAGCCTCCGAGAGGGTGAAAACAGCCTCTCTAGGCTCCGGAGGCCCTCTGGAGGTTTCCGGCCTTCCCGAACTTCCGGTAGTTTGTTTTTTTTTCGCCCTCCCTGAGCCTCCGTGGGCGCCCTGCACTTACCTGCATCCAAAACAGGCCGCGTGGGGATTCCTGGGAGGGGATGGGCGGGGTGGGTGGGGCCAGCCAGGTGGGGATTTGGGGGTTCTCCGAACTGCACAGAATCTTAGCAGCCCAACCCTGGCTGTAGACCAGCAGGAAAGATACGGAGGTGTTCCTCTCTCTGTCTTCCTCTTGACATCTTTTTTTTGACCTACAGGAAGTACCCAGAGTTGTCCCTCTTTTTCTCTTCTCTGGTGGTGGCACCCTTTCTTTTTCCAGATCTATCTAGAGTGCAGAGAAGAGCAACGAAGGTGATTAGGGGACCGGAAGCTAAGACCTACGATGAACACTTGAAGGAACTGGAAAGGTCTAATCTATCAAAGAGGAGGACCAACGGGGACTTGGTAGCAGCCTTCCAAAATTTGTGAGGCTGTCACAAAGAAGAGGGAGGTCAACCTTTTCTCCAAAGCGCCTGAGAGCACGGAAAGAAGTAACAGGGGGAAGATGATCAAGGTGAGATCCAACTTAGAATTAAGGAGAAATTTCTTGATAGTGAGGACAATTAATCAGTGGGAAGATCTGCCTGCAGAAGTTGTGGGTGATCCATCACTGCAGGTCTTCAAGAAGAGATTGGACATCCATTGGACCAGGATGGTATAAGTTCTCCTTCTTCAGCAGGGGTTGGACTAGAAGACCTCTAAGGTCTCTTTCTGTTAATCTGTAATTCCAAAGCAGCTGAGGGCAGGACAAGAAGTAATGGATGGAAACCTATCAAGGAGAGAAGCAACCTAGAGCTAAGAAAAAATTTTCTGACAGTGGGAACAATTAACCAGTGGAACAACTTGCCACCAGAAATTGTGGGTGCTCCATCACTGGAGGTTTTGAAGAAAAGATGGACAGCCAGTTGTCTGGAGTGGCATAGGGTCTCCTGCTTGAGCAGAGGGTTGGACTAGAAGACCTCCAAGCTCCCTTCCAACCCTATAATTCCACATCCTACATTAAATCCTCGCAAACGATTTTATGACCTCATTTAGTTTGCTGTAAAACGAAAACGAGATTAAGCTTCTTGTTTTCTCTCGCCCCGCTTAGTTCGCTTTAATTTGCAGCCAAATCATTTTGAGGTTGATTCGTGTAACTCAAGTGAGGAGATGACAGAAAGTCACAATTGTTAGGAGCTGCTCAACAGATCTGAAGCTCCTCTTGAAGGGGAATCAGTAACTCGCGGAGAAAAAAATAATGTCTTTTTTTTTTTTTTTAAAGAGAAAATAGATAAATGAGCCATACAGCAGGGATGTGGAGGGTTTTTTTTTTTTTAAACTGTTTGGAAATTGGATGAAGAAACAAGAAATTCAATATAAGCGCACAGCCTCTGTGCCTGGGTGGTTCAGAGAAAAAATAGATTTCCAGTGGTTTTATTTTTTTAATTAGCGGCTACCGTTCCTGTCTATAAAACAGCTCAACGATGCAAAACCCGGAAGGTAATTCAGATCCACGGGTCGATCCAGGTTTATTTTTTGGTCTGACCTGTATTGATGGTCAAACCATACAGGTAGTTCTCGACTTACGACCACAATGGAGCCCAAAATTTTCATCGCTAAGCGAGGCAGTTGTGAAGGGAGTTTTGCTCCGCTTTGCGGCCTTTGGTTTCCCTCCGTTGTTAAGTGAACCAATGCAGTTGCTCAGTTAGGAACATGGTTGATAATGGTGAATCCGGCTTCTTCACTGACTTGGCTGGTGAGAAGGTTTCAAGAGGGGATCACGTGACCTCGGGACAGTGCGACTGTCGTAAATATGAGTCAGGTGCCAAGCGTCTGAATTTTGATGACTGTGGGGATGCTGCGATGGTCGTTAAGTATGTAAAACGGTCATAGGTCACTTTTTTTCAGTGCCACAGACCTTTTCCAAGTCAATGGATGGGGATATTCAAGGCCTACTTGAGGTTCCTCAAGCATGAAAGACAGTTGATAGGCAGTGCCTGGATCTCAGCAGGCTTCGTCCTCCGAGGAGACTTTCTATGTTTTATGAGACCTTCTCAACCAACCCTAGGAATCTCCATCCTCTCCTTCTCCAGATCTGGAGCATTTGAGGAGCAAATGTGAAGACCAGCGAGATGATGTAAAGCAGCTTCAGAAAGCTGCAACCTTCCTTCCCCCTGGAGGGAGAAGCCTGGAGCCTTCTCAACCAACCGATGTTGAATCGGAAAAAGTCTATCGTAGATCTTTTCCAATTCAACAGGTAGGGATACTCAAGTCCTATTTGTGGTTCCTCAACCAGAAAAGGAACCTCAAATAGGACTTGAATGTTTGAGGTCCCTCAACCACAAAAGACAGTTGTGGGAAACCCACACCTTTGAAACTCTTCCTGAAGATCCGACGGTGTTGGGTCCAACCTTTTGAGAACTTCCCAGATGATTGGTGGGGCCTGGATCTCAGCGGGCTTCGTCCTCCAAGGAGACTTTCTACTGTTTTATGAGACCTTCCCAACCAGCCCTAGGAATCTCCATCCTCACCTTCTCCAGATCTTCTCCAGCATTTCAGGAGCAGATGTGGAGATGTGGTAAAGCAGCTTCAAAAAGCCACAAACTTCCCTCTTCCTCTCCCCAGTCTCCAATTCTGGCTATCGTCTCCCAGGGGTCTCATCTTAAGATGAAAATGAGGCGAGCTGATCTCAAAGTAGGTTGGATTCACTAGGAAACGAGGTGACGGCAGAAGAGCCTGGAGCTACGACATAACCTAGTTTACGCCACGCAGGAGCCAATCCGCCAAGAAGAAAAGGAACTAATTAAACTAGATGAGAGCTCGGAAGAGATAGAAAGGCAGGAGAAGAAGGTTTTGATTTCCTGGCCGGTGGAAGGAGGATGCCAGGTGTCACTCTGCACCGCCTGCAGATCTGGTACACTCATACACACACACACACACACACACACACACACACACACACACACACACACACACACTCTTCTAAATGGTCTCCAAGAATTCAACCGAGTAACCTTGTTGGGTTCTTCCCAAATCAGACAAATTATCCTGCCCTTTCCTTCCAATCATTGGTGCTCTCTTTCTCTCTCTGTGTGTGTATGTGTGTTTGTGTTTGTGTGTGATTACAACCAAAGGGTTACAGCCCTGATTGGCGCTGAAAAAACATCCTCTTTGTACGTCTGCTGGAGGAGAAACCGAGAAGCTTTGAAGAACATTGTGCACAGAAATGTTTTGCAGAGAAGATTTTTGCATAGAACATTCTGCATTGGGCAATCTTTCGTCGTGTAAAACCTAGAGGAATATTTTGCATAGGAGAATATTGTGCATGGGATATTGTGCAAGGCATATTTTGCATAAAAGAATATTTTGCACAGAACCTAGGTCAGTGATGGTTAACCTCTTTGGTGCCGAGTGGCCAAAGCGCACGGACGCGCACAAATGCACGCACACATGCCTGAACCCCCAAAATGCAACGAGAGCACCACCCCCGTGCATGCGTCCTGGGCCCCCCTGAGCCCCATTTTGGCTTTCAGGTTGGTGCAGGAGGTTAGTGAGGAAGCCGGGTTCATTGGAGACCCCTCTCATTAACTTCAGCACCGCCGTGATTCATTTAATAATGACTGCGGCGAGACAGGTCGTAAAATGGGGCAAAGCTCTCTGAACAACTGTCTCGCTTAGCGATGGAAATTTTGGGCTCCATTGTAGTCCTGCGTCAAGGGCCACCTGGAACCCCCAAACGGGCTTACCAAACGGGCGTTGCCCCTCCCCCAACACAGCCAACCCACGACGGCGGTCGAGCGTCCTTACCAATTTTTTAAGACGAGGGTCGTGATCAGCGCGGCGATGACCATGATGAGCGAGACGGTGATGGTGATAATCTGATGGAGCGCCAGACCTGGGAAAAGAGCAAAGAAACATGAAGGTGGGATGGATGGAGAGAGAGAGAGAGAGAGAGAGATTCTGGGCATCGCTTGGGGAGGGTCAGCTCTGGACCGGTTGGTCGCCCTGCAACCCCAAACTCTGACTCCTCCCTTGTGGGGTGGGGGGTCCAAGCCAGTGAGAAAACCTCATGGAATCGAGAGAAGGGAGGATTTGGATCTCAGAGTTGAACAAGGGGGTCCCTGGGGGTCTCTGAGCTCGGATGTTTTCTTGCAGACGTCTCATGACCCAATTAGGGAACTTCATCAGTGCCAGAAGGAGTGGGCAGGAGGAGGAGGAGGAGGAAGGGAGGACTGGGAGGCCCTTGGTGGTTTTCTTGGGACGTTTCACGACCCAACTAGGTAACATCATCAGTGCAAGATCTATTAGTAATTATTATTATTAATAATTACTGGGACACTTTCTGTGCGAGAGGGGAAGGAGAGGAGAAAGAGAAGAAGGAGAAAGAGAAGGAGTGGAGGAAAAGAAGAAGTGAGGAAGAGGAGGAGGAGGAGGAGGATTATAGAGTCCTTATAGAATCCTCTGGTGGTTTTTTTCATGACCCAACTAGGGAACATAATCAGTGATAGAAGGGAGTGGGGTTTGCAGAGAGGAGGAGGAGGAGTGGGCTCCTGGTGAGCAGATAGAGCTATTATATGTGCCAATCTATAGTAGATTATTCTAGAATTTCCTTCAGACCCAGATAATTAAGCTACATAGAAATCAATAGAGTAATTTGCAAAAGTGTAGATTTCTTTTCTGTTATTTACTCATTCTCTACATAAAATAATTCATTACAATTCTATCTCTAAATCATATTCCTCTCTAAATAATCATCTCTTTCAATATTCTTCTCTTCAAAATCCCATTCATTCCAACCTTCTTCTCAACCTATATTCTTCACTCCCATCATAACCTCATCTCTCTTCACTGAAATGTCACAACGGCCTGAAATTTAGTCATATTACAGCCTCTAAACAAAGAAGCCCATTCTCTCTCATTCTCTGCTAAGTCCATCAATTTCACATATTCAAACTCCAAATTGGCATCCCTTTCCTGCACTTTACTGATTAAGGACCAGTCAGTTTCTCTCAGAACAACCAACGCCACAGAGGCTAAAATGCGGGAAATCTCGGCTTTTCCAGATAAAACTCAAATAAAAATAAGTTTGGAGAACACCAGTCTGGGTTGCTGAGAAATTAGTGACCCTCACGGGAAACAAGGGCCTTTTGTGTAGGCCCAGTGAAAAAATACATGTGTCTTGAAAATAGCAACAAAGCACCGATCAATATAAATCCAATTTACTTTCATGTCTGCATTATGGTACAAGGCTCTGGCCTACGAGGTTTCCATTTCTTCCAAAATAACCCCCTGGAACCCACCGTGTTTTCCAATTTTTAAGGTTTTGCACTCGGCCTCCTCTCTTTTACAGAGGTTTTTAACCCCAATCTCTGCGGTGGCCCTTAGAAATGTCCCCAAAAATGTTTTTTAAATGCCATTTTTCACAATGTGCTTGGGCATAATTGACAATGACCCCCAATTATTCATGCAACTAGGAGAAATAAATGTGTTTATAGGGAGTTCCTTCCTTCCTTCCTTTCCTTCCTTCCTTCCTTCCTTCCTTCCTTCCTCTTCTCCCTCCCTCCTCCTCCTCCCTTCCTTCCTTTTCTTCTTCCCTCCTTCTTTTTCCTTCCTCCCTCTTTCCTTCCTCTCTCCTCTCTCCTCTCCTCCTTTCCTCAGCCCTCCCTCTCTTTCTCTTCCTCTCTTCCCTCCCTCCCTCCCTTCTCTGCAGCAGCCTGGAGGGGTAAAATAGTCCCAATTCAGTCCCAGAGAAGTGATCCGAGCCATAACGGAGAAGAGACGCTGCCTGTTGTGGCATCTCCTAGCCTCGACGGAGAGCTGAGGAACATATTTCCAGTTCCACCGGGCTGATGTGTCCTGACAGAGGCCGTCATTACCCTGCCAACTTTTCTCTCCGTTTGCGGCCGGAGATGTCCCTGGCAATGGCTGTTTATGTTCATTAAGCCCCCTTCAGTTCAAGAGAGTGCCACTTTGCTTCCGTGCTCATGCAGCTGATTGTGGCAATCTGGGGCTTAGGGAGAGATCCATCCGTGGCAAATCTTCGGCTTTGATTTCCAGGTGGGAAAGCAGCCATTTCAGCAGGCTAGAATTATTTCCTCCAAAGATCATAGGAATGTGCATCCTTCTGTCCCCCTGCCCTCCCCTCCCTGTGATTTCCTCCACTGAGAAGCATTTGGTGATCTTCTGATGCCGTGCGAGGGAGGGAGGGAGGGAGGAAGGAAGGAGAAAGAGGGAGGGAGGGAAGAAGGAAGGAAGGAAGGAGGGAGGGAGGGAGGGAGGGAGGAGAAGGAGGGAAGGAGGAAGGAAGGAAAGGGAGGGAGGGAGATAGAAAGGGAGGAAAGAAAAATGATATTAAAGGAGGGGAAGAGGGAGGGGAAGGGAGGAAACAAAGAAAGGAAGGAAATAAAGAAAGAAGAAAGAAAGAAAAAGGGAAGAGGAGGGGAGGGAGAGGGGGAAATGACATTAAAGGAGGAAAAAGAGGGAGGAAGAAAGGAAGGAAAGAAAGGAAAAAGGAAAAGAAAGAAAGAAAAAGAAAAGAAGGGAGGAAAGGAAAGGGGAAAAAAGGAAGGGGAGGGGAGGAAGTGTTACTAACTTAACTGCAGTGATTCACTTAACAAATGTAGCAAGAAAGGTCGTAAAATGGGACAAAACTCACTTAACAAATGTCTCGCTTAGCCACAAAAACTTTGGGCTCAATGGTGGTCATAAGTCAAAGGCAACCTTCAACTTTGCACAATGCAATGAATTGCTTCACAATTGCTTTGGCCTATCCAATGTCTGCATCCTTCCCCGATGGCTTTCCCAGGGCTTGGGGGAGAGTTTGATGGTCTAGGCTGGGTCTCCTGCTTGAGCATGGGGTTGGACTAGAAGACCTCTAAGGTCCCTTCTAAGCCTAAGATTCTATGCTCCTTTGTGTTAATTCTGTGGCCAAGAGGTATGTGGGTCACCACCAAGGTCAGGTCCTAGGGAGATGCTTCCCACCCGCCCATCCGATGAAGAATATCAGAAGCTGATTCATGAAAACCTCTTCAGATTTGAACACAACATGTTCTGGAACACAGTGATGAGGTCCCAGATGGTTAACCTGGGTTTAAATGTTTTATGTGATGGGGACAGCATCTGTTCAGAAACATCTGTTGTCCTTAGATTCATCACCGTAAAAGGGAACAGCAGAAAGAGCAAGCTAATTGTTGAGTTTTGAGCTTCCAAATCTCATGGATTATTGCAGGGGTCTCCAAAACATGGCCACTTTAAGACTTGTGGACTTCAACTCCCAGAAGTTGAAGTCCATAAGTCTTAAAGTGGCCACATTTGGAGACCCCAAGATTACAGCAACAAGCTAGAAGAAGATACCTTGAGGAACATCTAATCCACCTTCCTGTCCAGTGTAGGAATCTATCATGACAACATCCCTGAGAACCACCCTTCAGCCTCTGTTGAGGCACCTCGAGCAAAGAAGAACCCACCTCAGTTGAACAGGTCTTCCTTATGAGGAAACCTTTCCTGAAACCCAACCAACATCTGTCTCCTTGTCCTTTCTTTCCCTCTCCTACCTTCTGGACCGTCTCCAAACACTTTTGTTCAACCTTTCCAGGACATCCTTCAGATACATCTGCCACGTCTCCCTGAAGTCTTCTCTCCTCCAGGCTAAAGATGTCCAACATTTGTCCTTCTCCCAGAATCAAACCAGGTGACTCTCAAATCAAAGCTGACCAAGCTTGGAAATGAAGCCTACTCTCAGGAGGTCCTAAGGGCCACTCAACAAAATTCACCCAATCGAAGATTCGAGGACACCATTCCTGCCCAGAAATGCCACACGCAAAGCCAAGGGCACCTCTGTTTGTGTGAGTCACACCAGCAGCTGCTGCCAAGCTTCCTGGCCAATGATTATAAGCTTCCTGTCCTTCAACTTGTTTTGTTGACTCTGATAAACTTGAAGGAATCACTCAAAGGTGCAGTGGAAAGGACTCTTGGTAAGAAGAAGGTGTCCTTCAAGGAAGCAGCAGAGAAAAAGACAGAGAGAGTCTTTGGGAGGTGGGGGGAGAGTCAGGGGGTTTTGAAGGCATCTCAAGAGCATGAAGAAGAAGCTGTGAAGTCCAGTCTGAAAGGACCTATATAAGCAGTGGTGAGTGGGGGCGAAGAGAAGGACTAGGGGTGACGTGATGGCAGTCTTCCAATATTTGAAGGCCTGTCATGGAAAAGAGGGGGTTGACCTCTTTTCTCCAAAGCACCAGAAGGCAGGTCGAGGAACAATAGATGAAACTCATCAAGAAAAGAAGCAACCTGGAACTATGGAGAAATTTTCTGGCAGTGAGAACAATTAACCACTGGAACGGCTTTCTTTCAGAAGTTGTGGGTGCTCCATCACTGGAAGTCTTCAAGAAGAGATGGACAACAGGATGGAATAAGGTCTCCTGCTTCAGCAGAGGGTTGCACTAGAAGATCTCCAAGGTCCCTCCAACTCTCCAACTCTGTGACTCTATTCTCTTCGATATTGGCTGGAGATCTGGGGAATCTGCTCTATTCTATCTATCTATCTCTTCCCCAGATCCCATCATAGTGGATCTCTATCCTATCTATCTATCTATCTATCTATCTATTATCTATCTATCTATCTATCTATCTATCATCTATCTATCTATCTATCATCTATCTATCATCTATCATCTATCTATCATCTATCTATCTATCTATCTATCTATCATCTATCTATCTATCTATCTATCTATCTATCATCTATCTATCATCTACTATCTATCTATCTATCCATCTATCTATCTATCTATCTATCTATCTATCTACTATCTATCTATCATCTATCTATCTACCTACCTACCTACCTATCTCTCTATCCATCTATTTCTATCCATCTGTCCATCTGTCTATAATCCATCCACCCACCCATCCCACCATCCCATCCAACCCATCCACCCATCCATCCATCCATCCATCTACCCACCTACCTACCTATCTATCTATCTATCTATCTATCTATCTATCTATCTATCTATCTGTTATTGATCTCTCTCTATCATATCCAAAAGGTTTCAGATTCAGCAGAGAGCCACGCAGGGCCAGGGCCACAGAGGTGGCAACCATCGCCACTTCCCGGCCGGCCAAGATCCGAAGCAGAGTCCTCTAATGCGGCTTGGCAGCTGCCTCCTGCCTCGTGTTCCTGGGAGACCCCGTGCTAACCGTCCGTTTAGAAGCCTTTCAAGGCGGATTAGACCATCCGTGCCAGGACAGGAGTTTTGGGCTTTGGCCTCCTTGCCAGGACAACAATCCGCCAGCAGCGGTTCATGAGATCTTCGCCGAGGAGAGAAGTGCGCCAGATGGTGCCCAGGAGCAGCCGGGCAAGAAGGCCGCAGAGATGTCAAGTCTTCCCCAAGGAACCTCGGCTTCTCTCTCCCTCCCTCCCTCCCTCTCCTCTCCTCTCTCTCTCTCTTTTCGGCGTCTCAGCTCTGCAGGGAGATGAGAGAGAGAGAGAGAGACAAAGAGAGAGAGAGAGAGAGAGAGGAGATGAGAGAGGAAGAGAAAAAGAGAGAGAGAAAGAGAGAGAGAGAGAGAGAGAGGGAGATGAGAGAGAGAAAGAGAGAAAGAGAGAGAGAGAGATGAGAGAGAGGAGATGAGAGAGGAAGAGACAAAGAGAGAGAGAAAGAGAGAGAGAGATGAGAGAGAGGGAGATGAGAGAGAGAGAAAGAGAGAGAGAGATGAGAGAGAGGAGATGAGAGAGGAAGAGACAAAGAGAGAGAGAGAGAGAGATGAGAGAGAGGGAGATGAGAGAGAGAGAGAGAGACAAAGAGAGAGAGAGAGAGAGGAGATGAGAGAGGAAGAGAAAAAGAGAGAGAGAAAGAGAGAGAGAGAGAGAGAGAGGGAGAGGAGAGAGAGAAAGAGAGAAAGAGAGAGAGAGAGATGAGAGAGAGGAGATGAGAGAGGAAGAGACAAAGAGAGAGAGAAAGAGAGAGAGAGGGAGATGAGAGAGGGGGAGACAGGGAGAGAGAAAGAGAGAGAGAGAAAGAGAGAGAGAGGAGAGAGAGGAGATGAGAGAGGGAGAGAGAAAGAGAGAGAGATGAGAGAGGAAGAGACAAAGAGAGAGAGAAAGAGAGAGAGATGAGAGAGAGGGAGATGAGAGAGAGAGAGAGAAAGAGAGAGAGAGATGAGAGAGAGGAGATGAAAGGAAAAGAAAGGAAAGGAAAGGAAGAAGAGGAAGGGAAGGGAAGAAAAGGAAAAGAAACAGAAAGGGAAAGGAAAAGGGAAAGTGAAAGAAAGGAAAGAAGAAAAGGGAAGGAAGAAAAGGAAAGAAGGAAAGGAAAGGGAAGGAAGAAAGGAAGAAAAGTGAAGGGAAAAAAGAAAAGGAACAGAAAGGAAAGAGAAAGGAAAGGGAAAGAAAAAAAAAGGAAGGGAAAAGAAGGGAAAGAAAGAAAGGAAGGAAGAAAGGAAGGGAGAAAAGGAAAGAATCAAAAGGGAAAGAGAAAGGAAAAGGAAAGGAAGTAAATGGATGAAAAAGAGAAGAGAAACTCGATCACTTGAACCCTAACCTCATAGTAAAGAGACTCTTCACCTCTTCCCCTTATTTAATTAAGAAAATATGTTCAACAGCAAAACAATTGCCTTCCTGCTAAATAGAGGCCCAATCCATAGAGTTTTTAGTCTAAAACCAGCCTTAGTCTAAAATCAGAGATCAACACTCTCTTAATTAACAAAATGATACTACAGATAATCCTCGGCTTACAGCTATCAGTTTAACAATTGTTCAAAGTTACAACGGTGCTTTGTTTAAGACAAATACAGCATCCAGGATCACTGGATTGCCATATGTGACTTCCCAGCATACTGTCGACAAGCAAAGTCAAATCCGGGAAGCTGGATTCGCTTGGCAATCGCATGACTCACTTAAAGACCATGGCAAAGAATGGGGTGTAACTCATTAAACAACAAGTCCCTGGCCCAGTTGTGGTCGTAAGTCAAGGACTCCCTGTAATTCTCCTGCTGCAGAACATGACGATAACGTCTTTTCGAAATAATAATGGTGAGGATAATAATTATGATGATAGTGACGATGTGGTATTACTTGGTACAGATAGTCTTTGACTTACAGCCATAATTGATCCCAAAATTTCAGTTGCTAAGCGGGACAGTTGTTAAGTGAGTTTTGCCCCATTTTACGACCTTTCTTGCCACAGTTGTTAAGTGAATCACTGCACCTGTTAAGGTAGTAACATGGTTGTTGCTGGAATCTGGCTTCCCCTTGACTTTGCTTGTCAGAAGGTCGCAAAACGGGGATCACGTGACCCCCGGGACAATGCAACCGTCGTAAATATGAACCAGTTTTTATTTATTTATTTATTTAATTTTTATACTGCCCTTCTCCCGAAGGACTCAGGGTGGTGAACAGTCAAACATATATACATATAAAAATGTGAAATAAAAGCAATTTAAAATAATTAAGACAATTTGGCTCATCATTAAGTTAAGATCTTCAGCATAAAATTTAGACAATTAGAAAAAATTTATGCCAGCCCGGTTTGGTGAAACAGAAAGGTCTTAAGTTCACGACGGAATGTACGGAGATCTGGATCATTCGTATCCCTGGGGGTATCCTGTTCCAAAGGGTAGGTGCCCCCACAGAGAAGGTCTCTCCCCCAGTCGACATTGCTTTAGTGACGGTACCCTGAGAAGGCTCACTCTATGGAGCATACTGGTTGGTGGGAGGTTATCGGTTGCAGAAGGTGGTCTCGTAGGTACCCAGGTCCTAAGCCATGGAGCACTTTAAAGGTAAGAACCAACACCTTGAAGCGCACTCGAAGAAGCCACTGGGAGCCAGTGCAGTTTGCGTAGGAGAGGTGTTACATGTGAGCGCCATGTCGCTCCCAATATCACCCCGCGCGCCCGCATTCTGGACCAGTTGGAGCCTCCGCGTGCACCTCAAGGGGAGCCCCATGTAGAGAGCATTGCAGTAGTCCAGTCGAGAAGTTGACAAACATCCAAATTTTGATCACGTGACCATGGGGATGCTGCAATGGTCACTGGTGTGAAAAACGGTCATAACATAAGTAACTTTTTTCAGTGGCGTTAGAACTCTGGTCACTAAATGAACTGTTGTAAGTCGAGGATTACCTGCATGGTGTTTTTATAAAGATGTCTCTGCTAAAACATTTCCCTAGATGGGGATGAAATGCAGGCAGAGGTATGAAGGTAAGAAAGGATGTACATTTGTGTGTGTGTATGTGTGTGTATGTAGACACACAAAACACAACACCTGCCCAACACACAAACACACACACACACACACACACACACACACACACACACACACACGATAACAAAAGGCTTGTTTCCAGGCTAGAGAAAAGCTTGCCGCTTGCTCAGGTGTCAAAATTTCAATGTGTTTGTCTGGGCTGTGTAAATGTCACAGAAAAAGCGAGCGAGAGATTCTGCCTCGCAGGAAATGAACAAAGGCAATTTAACAACTAATGAGCTGGATTTTTTTTTTTTTTTTTTGGCCTCCGTAGAAGCTAGGAAGCAGCTTCTGCGCCCTGCGAAATGCTAGCCAGATTCACAAGATGAATCTGTTTAGCCAAGTTGAGTTAAAAAGCCAGCGGCTCCATTCTCACAACCATTTAGCTTTTAATCTTGGTTAGGTTATTTTTTTCTGAGGCAACATATAGGGCGAAATCTAACTCGTTGGGTCAGAATAAGAGAAGAACAGAGTTGGAAGGGAGTTATATATCAAGCAGGATATATAACGTTTCACCATCAGTGAGCTGTTGGGCAGCATTACTTGGTCTGTTGTGTGGATGTTTGGGTGGTTTAGGGGTGAGGAATTTGTGGTGGGTGAGTATGTTTGGGGATTGTTATGTGTGTTGGACCTGGTCTTTGGGTGTTAAGTGAATTTTCGTTGTATGGGTATACTGTGTATACACGTACAATGACAATAAAGTTATTATTATTTCAGTTTATGGATCTGTAGATTGGGAGAGCTCAGAGCACGGCCAATTTGGTAAGTGTGTGGCACTTCCAACCTGTAAAATACTGGTAATCCAGTGACCACTGGAGCACAGTTTTAAAATAAGCCAGAG